ATTGCGGATGTCCAACAAGGTTGTCTAGTATCCACTGAGGCTGATGTTGGTGGACATCTCCAGATTTCAGGCTGGATGGTGTTCAGAGCATTTGAGGAATCTCTACTTGCTCTACTCTGTGTCATTATATTACATTACAGCTTCTGGTTGTGACGTCTGAGAATTGAAGGGCTGGTATTGTTATGGAAATTGTTTTAGACTCTCTTTACCATTAAATAGATTGCATACTTCTATGATAGACTTACTTTACAGGTTGAGGAAGGACGAACATTCGTTCTGAACAGTCCTGGTACTTGTTCTGACGCAGGCCTGCTTGCATTCCTTAAAGGCAGGGCAGGTTTTCACTAGTTCATTGTCATGGTAAAATGGGCGCTTTCAGGAACTGAGCCATGTTTCAGGCCTGCCACAACAAAAGGCTCAGCTTAACAAACGTTTGCTGGGTTCATTTTGCACTCATGTCTCAAACATATTAGAGCATGATAAAAAATATTAGCTTCCTTGTTGTAACCTAATAGAAAAATCCCAATTTTAACTGCACGGTGCTTGTATTGTATAAATAGAGTAGGACTGTAGGATAGTCGAGCAGCAGTCTTGGAAGTGAACAGGACACTTTATTGCTTTAGATAGGCTAATTACTATCATAAACTTATTCAGGATCAAAGTTATCACCACCTATCAGTTGATGGCATCCTGCAGTAAAACAACTCTGTTAATTATTAATCATGACAAATTTAGTATTAATGAATTCTTTGTAATCCCACAGTTTTATAAAATACCACCGTAATCACGCTGCCAGAAACAGTGAATGAAAGAAAATTACAAACAATTCATAGCTGATCCCAGGTGATTAACCGTCAATTAACAGAGGATTAGAATTGCTCAAACCAAACAGAGTTAAAGACCATAATTAGTGACGAACACGTTTTAAGTCCACCTTTTATGTGACATGCATTATATTACAAAGAGTTGATGCGCTTGAGTCAGATTTAATGCCTTTCACCTTGAAAAAGGGTGGTTTTCTAAGCATTACTTAATGACTTAATTAATTCAGTGTATTAAATATAAAAATAAATCCTAAAGGAGTGTCATGAATGAGAAAGGCGCCCAGCCTGCATTTGTTTCATACAGAGTTTACAGAAACAGGAGGTACAGTATGAAATATGACTCATAAGCCTCTTTGGAAATGTGTTTATTTCATAGGAAACACATTTAATCTGTCAGAACCACAAAAAGCAAAAAATAGTAACAGGAGACATCGGCAGCATCAGGTCTCTCATCATGTCCAGATGACAACACTGAGAATGTTATTTTTATTTTCACCCAAAAAAAAAAAAATGTTGGGTGAAATCATAACATTTGAATTTTATTATGCTGAAAATTACACAATATTTTAATATACTGGTCAGTATTTTTTTTCTTGTGGGAAATACTGATCAAGTGAGAGAGTGCTCACCGACTCAAAGGACCTAAAAATTCTTGCTATTCTCACCATAGGTAATTAAGTCTTCTTTGTAAGCATGCTGAAAATTCCTCGAAGATTTCTCTGGCGCCTGTATGCACCCATGTGGTTTTGATGAGTCGCTTTGTTAGCAGAGGTAAGGCACTTCTTCTGCTGTTTTACTCCCACTCATTTAGATCCAAGCAACCATAACAGTGAAAGCTTTGTTTCCCTAAACTTCTCAGAACTGGCTCTTGTTGGTACTTATGAGACAGTCTGCGACAAAGTCAGCGTTATTCGAAGAGACCGCAGCTGTTAGGTTCGTAGCAGCAGCGAGAGACGGTCTGATATACATCAACAATGGAACTACTGAAATCATCTTAAATAGAGAAATACATAAAGCAGTCGGTTTAACTGACTGACTCCGCCCTCTTTCACCTGTTCAGTAGAACTTGTTCTACTGGCTTCCCATACAATATGAGACACTTTCTTTGAATTGAAACATTCATTCATTGAAGATCATGATTCATCGTCATCTTTTCATCGGCATGAGCTTTTATGTCACGATCACTCAGATCAAACTCAACCTTTGCCTTATATTTTTACATGTATGATGGAATAAATTAGTTTGCCTGCCCCTCAGCCCAACCTTCCTAAATTTGCCACGTCATGAAGGAAAGCAGGAATGTGTGTAATTTTTAGCTCCACTCACATGACCAATGAAAATGAATGTGAGGCTGTGAACATTTTGTCGAGCAGCTCAGGCTTTAAAGACATTATCAAGTTTTATAACATGTCAACAAAGATCTCTTTATTTAGATTTGGTCCGTTTTAAGGAGAGGTTCCATGACCGTGGCTTCATATTGTACTTACTCTTCACTGCATTGTGTGCAACTCCTGTCTGTACTTGCATGTCTGATGAAATCTGCTTCCTGTATGACTCAGATCTGCAGGATGGATTATTGACTTGGATTAATCATTAATTCAGCCCTACTACTGTTGCTGCAGGTGCAGAAATAAACTTTTATCAGTAGTAGTAACTGTAAGTAGCTATTGTTAGCTTTATCTCTGTGATGTGATGAAGCCTGCGATGCAGGGAGAGGTGTTAAGTGTGCTAGAAGATGATCAATTCGTCATAGACGGAAAAACACCAGCAATGACACATTTATTAATAGACAACATCTATGCAACAGTGAAATCGCTTTAATAGTAGCAGCATCAACTGAGAGGCATCAAGCGGTTCACAAAGTCCCTGCCAGCAAGTGTACTGTTCCTTTTGTGATCCATGCCATTACTAATACATTAGGAAATAGGACGCTGCACATGCATGCACCTGATACATCCAGAGGAGCCAGAAGGATGAGTGAGGATTAGGATGACCGCTGCTCACATGAGGGTGTTTGGGTGTAATCTCATTCAGGCAGGGTGTTCTGGCTTTGAAGCCACGCTCATGCCCTGATCCAGCCTGACACCCGTCACCTGGGCCCACTGTCATTTCAGAAACTTTGCGGTGGATCTGTGGAGATCAGAGCAGGGAGTGGGTTTCATCAAAGAAGAACAAATTAGAATTTTGAAGTTACAAATACAATGTACACTTGCTAGCTATCTTGTTTAAAGAATTAGCTATGAGTAAGACAAGCTAACTAGTCTCTAATCAACTATCTAAACTACTGAATTAGCTATAAGCTATGAATATTAATTGTAAAAATTCCCAAAAACAAATAATACAGTACAGCTAACTAAGTTCATAAAATGGCATTGTGTAACAAATAAAAGCTCAAAACAGTTAGCTTGTCTCCTAAATTAGCTGTATGGAATGTGTCTTGCTAATCAAAACAAGCTAAGTAGTCTCTAAGCAAATACTTAAGCTGCTACTGAGTTAGCTATAAGCTAATGATGTTGGTTGAAAATTTCTCAAGACCATAAAAAAATCCAGTAAACCTAAACAGATTAATTAAAAATACATTATCAAAAAAATTACTGCTAAAACCATTTAGCTTGCTAGCTAGTATCTTAACCGCTAGTCTGCTAAAAATAGTTATAAGAAACCCATACAATACTGATTAATCAACATAAATATTAACACTAAAGCTTTAACATTGCCAAATACATTAGCCCTGCTAATATATTTAGCTTAGCTAATATATTTAGCTAAGCTAAATATATTATCCAGCTTAAGACTGTGTGTTTGTACACCTCCTTTTCAATGAAGTCATAAACCACCTTTCATTGTCACATGCAACAATACAGATACAGCAACATATCTGTGTAAACAGCAAAATCCACATATGTTCCTTTTTTTATCGAGTGTGGCTGTAAAAAAAGGAACCTAAAATAATTTACATATAATTATTATTCAGTAGCTGTCAACTTGTTTCACTTAGCTTGCCCAGAGGGATTCAGATTTTGTCCACAACTCTGTCTGTCACTATCCTAATTGTGTTGCTTCTAAACCAATAATGTTGAAATGATTTTTGATGTTCAGATGTAGCAATCAGAACGTATTCATATCTGGTAGAGCTGGAACATGGGTTATCCTTATATGCTGATGATGTGATACTCTTCTTAAAATTCTCTGCCCTTTCTTTCTTATTACATTAATATTTTGATAGTTTTAGGCTGTAATCAATTGAAATAAATTAATAGTAAGATTAAAGATTAAAACTAACAGAGCATATTACTTTTGAGTCTAAAATCTTAGGGTGTCAGCATTATAATTTGCTGCCAACTTGGAAAACCTACATGTTCTATAAACAATTCTGGAGCATGAAGCTAAATTAAGGCTCATTACTGCATGACATTGTACCCAGTATGCCAGTTTGGCTATGACTGTAATTCACAATGCTACAGAAGATCCTTCCTGCCCACACAGCCATCACCACTCAATTACTGCAACTTTTAATTTCCCTTTGGGATGAAGAAAGTATTACTGAATTGAACTGAACTCTATTAACATTTTAGCAGAAAGCTTTGAAAGCATCAGCATTGATTCTGGCCCAGTTTGTTCGCTGATAATGTCCCAAAGCAAAAGATCACAACATTTAAAGGTTGATGACATTTTATTGCACCTTTTCACCTCAGGGGTTACGACCTCTGACCTCCTATGTTTGTCTTGTATGCACACACACAAGCCTTTTGAGATCATGAGATCATTTATGTTTTCACTGGGCATCATCACACCCAAAGAACTTGACATATTAGTGAGTTTTACAGACAGAGTCACATTACAGGTGTTAAAATTACATTAGCATAAATATGGCATTATGGATATTCAACAAGTCTACTGCTGGAACTGAAAAGTTTTTTTCCCATCTACAACAGTGCTTTTGCAGAAATGGATAGTTCTTTTATATTTTGTAAAGTAGAATTCAGGGCAGGGTGATTTTCCTTGGGAGGACCTCCACTGGTGGATCCCTGTGGTTTCCTAGTAGCTAGATCTCTGGGTCAGCTCTGTTTGTATACAATAGCACGTCACAGCGTGCGTAAATCTAGTCCAGCCTTTGCTCCGCCCCCCTTCGGGGATCGTAGCTGATGCAATAAAGGGTGAGTCCCAACCCCTCCTCCAGTACTGGCTCTTCTTCGGGAACACAGAGTCTGCTTTCTGTCTCTCTTTCTTTATAAACCAAATTTATCCTTCTTACTCGTGTCAGTCCTTGGTATTTCAAGTATTTTCACTTTGATTACTTGAATTGCTTAGGTTGTCTTTTTAAACATCAGATCGTCTTTTCGCTTAGAGTTTTTCATTCATTTTCTACTCATTTATAAATAACGTAAATATTCTTAAGGATCGACTGATTTTTGTGAAGAAATCGATTGGAGATCTCTTGTTTTGTCCTCAAAAGGAAGGATTTTTTTGGGTTTCTTTCCCCCTACGAAGGTAAGAATGCCGGTGTTGAATGAATAGACTGGAAAATTACTAGATGGAGGAAGTGCAGATTTTCAAACCCCCGGAAGCTTAGGACATCAAACTCTTATTTTATTATGATCTGTAATCCGCAAATTCACTATTTATTCAGTAAATAATATATGTATTTATTTTTGATTCCCCTGTGGCTAATAATTAAAAACATGACACTTTAAATATTTAAATCTTTTTTTTTTCCTTTAAAAAAAAGCGCGATGCGTCATATGTGAACAAATGAAGCCTTTGTGGTCAATCGAATTTAATGATGTCTAAAGGCGTGTCATATTGATGTCTGAATGTTGCATTTGTAGGCAAAACAAAAAAACTTACATTAAAATATATAGCTTAAAGAATCAATTTATTTTTGAAAAATGTAGAAACAGCTTGGGCGTCAGTCAGAGCGCAAGCCGTTGCGGAACAAAATGGCAAGCTATGCCCATACAAGGAACACACGTGTCTTTGTTTCTGCTGGAGCCGGCTGTGGAAATAATGTCATTAAATGGATCTGGTTGCTCAATCTGGGGAGGAATGGATAACAGAAACACACAGGAGGGAACATTTTAGTAAGTCACGACAACTGGAGCACATTTGCCTCAAGATTTTATCCGATTCTGTTGTTTCATGCTCTTAAAGGCTGGTTGTCTTTAAAACTGTTTTAAAACTTTTTTTATGAAGTAATGTAAATAATAAATGATTTTCTGAGGGGCGTTGTAGAGATCAGCCTCTGCGGGTCTTTTTGTCCTTCAGCATCCCTTCCTCTTCAGTCAAGTCTGGTGATGCTGTAAAGACTCGCGCTCCGGTATTTTTCCACTCGCTGCCTCATCACTCAGCCCCTCCCGTCGCTGAAAATATCTCACTCACGCGGTCTAATATTGATGGCGATTTCATCGATGCCTCATCTGTCGCTCGGTGCTACTCAATCAAAAACTGTTATCACCCCCAAAAAACTGCTTAAAGGAAAGATTGGCATTGATATACAATATTTGGATTGTATTGAAACGAGATTTCAAAATAGAATCTGATATGCTTCCTTTGCATACATTAAAAACGGAACTTCTTGTTTAAATAAAACGGATGACAATCTACCTTAAAAAAAACACACTTAGTACATTTTGATGACCTAAAACGCCTCATCAGAATAAGCTTTATAAAATCCTTAACCAGCACATCTTATGCACCTACTTGTAATATCAGACATTGTTAAAACCAAACCAATAAATGTAAGTGACGATTTTGATCTGTTCTGATGATATGCACTCTGACACAAGGAATCCCTGTCTGCCTGGCCTTATCTTCTATGATTATTGTTGCCAGTAACACACCTTAACAGACAATAAGAAGCAGAGGTGTGGCAGATATGGTGTCAGGGAAAATAAATGTACGCTAAACACAATTACTTAAAACCTTTTTGTTATGATTTCTATGTTTTCAGCTCTAAAATGCCCAATGACAAGAAGGCCGGTTCTAGAATTGAGATGAAAAGCCTGAACGCTCCTCAAGACGACGACAGCTGCAGCTCCAACAGCAACGACTTTGCGTACCCTGACTTTCCCAAGAAGATTCCTCTCAATGGGTGAGGCTCTTTTTTAAAAGGGCTAAAGACCAAAAGAAAAGTTCAATATGTCAGCTCATTTAACACGTCTGTTTCTTCTATTAAAGGCAATACCCAGATGCAGATCCAGAGAGTCAAAACTTCCTCTCTGATCATAACCCAAGCAAGAAGAAGTATGAAACTGAATATGTAAGTTCCAGTTTAGTCACTTTTATTCCACAATGTATTTTTTTTTCTGCTATTTCTTTGAAAATTCTGTTTTCTCCTCTTCAGCACCAGGGCAATGCCTCCTTCGGCATGTCCGTCTTCAACCTGGGCAATGCCATCATGGGCAGCGGCATCCTGGGTCTGTCCTTTGCCATGGCCAACACCGGCATCGCCCTGTTTGTGTAAGCATTTTTCCATCACCTAAAACCTGAAACCTCATTTTTACCTCCAACATTTCTCAACTCCAATTCAGGCAGGTGTCTCTTCAAGGTCTCAGGTCCTGTTATTCCCAAACTGTGCAAGATAGGGTTTTTTCCCCCCCTCTGCCAACAGGTGTGTGACCCTGAAAGAGAGGCAACATGCCAGCTCAAACATTTGCAGTTGTTCTGATTTGTGCGTGTTTCACCTATGTTTGCTGTAGATTAGAAATGTTGAAGAGATAAAAACATCTTCAAGGAAAAGCAGATGGTTGGAGGGTTTTGGTAATGGTGACCCCTGTTGGCTGTTCATGTGAACAACTTCAACACTTCTTGTGACATTCGAGCCCTGGGTTTCATCAGACTCTTCCTAGTTTTTTTAAACAGAACAAAGAAGATTATGTTACTGAGGCTTTGTTTACTCTAGTGCATGATGCACAGATGGCATTTAATATGAGGAAGAGAGCTCTACTAACTTTTCATCTAAGCAATGAAAAAGTAGAAGTGATTTCCTGGATCAAGCAGAATGCGGATGTTTTCTCTCAGTTCGCCTCGTGGTCGTGTGCATATCATCAGTCGGAAGCTGTAGGCCACTTTCCAGAGAAGCAGCTTACTGATAATCCTGGTGGCCAGGCGTTACATAAACCAATAGATGCCATTCACATGCTGGGGATCATGAATGGTCCACTGAGGATCTCGGTCTGACGGCAATCGACTAATCTAGGTCAGGATCTGTAGGAAGTTGGACCTTAAAAAACCAAAGTAGCTACTTCTTGTGTACATTGTTGGGTGAAGGCTGAATGCTGGTAGGACAAAGTGGCTCCTAACCAGACATAAACCGAGGCATATTTGCTGGGTTGAAGCTAATTTTGTCAAGAGACATACTAAGGATGTCCAATGAGAGCAAGTGGGCAGACAGTGATCTCACTTTTGCATTGCGAGTCTCAAATGGTTGAGAGATTAATTTCCACCTGGTCTATTAATACGTTGGGACAAACTGTACTGGACTTACAGTATATGGGTGGTATTAAGATGATCTTGTGCAGGGAAACCTCTCATCCCATCCTACTCTGCTGTTGCAGTCCATCATTTGAAGGGGGTTGTTCCGGATTTCACCCAGATTTCACTCTAGATTTATTGCTTTTACATCAAAGTGATTCTGTGCAGACTCTTAGCTGTCAAAGATACTTCCTTAAAAAGCTGATGGCTCAAGTTGGGAAGCGGTGATGTGTCAAAAGTCTCTGAAACAAGCAAAAAAAAAAAAAAAGCAAAGAACAATGCAAGGTTCGAGCCTTTTGGAAAGTCAATGAACTTAGGACAAGCTCAGCAGTCATGGAATAACACCTGACCTTCACATTAGCTAAAGGTGGGCGTGTTTGTTTACCCTCAGGAAAGAACAGTTGTCTTTCAGTCGGCCTTTAAAGTCTCAGGTTCAGCATTTTAGCATTGATCAGGGCCTGCTGCTCATTGCAGTCACGTTTTTTCCCCTTGTAATTACATCTTAGTCACGAGTCTACAACTGAAGACCTTTTCTCTCTCTTGTGTTTACAGGTTTCTCCTGGTTTCCGTTGCCATTTTCTCCTTGTATTCTGTCCACTTGTTGCTGAAGACAGCCGATGAAGCAGGTGAGCACCAGCTCCAACTTTCCAGCAACCTTTTTATGTTTGATCACATTTATATGTCAAGATTTAAAACGCTTTGCGTTTTTATCCTCTTTTTCCAGGTGCTCTTGTTTATGAGTCACTGGGTTACAAGGCCTTTGGGATCCCAGGCAAACTGGCTGCTTCCTGCTCCATCACCATGCAGAACATTGGAGGTGAGGGACTGACCTTTAAGTAGCAAAATGGCTCTTTTTGTGTTATGCAACTATGATTGAACTGCTCCCTACACTCACCATCATGTGCATGTTGGAAAATAATAGACTGTGGAGATGGCATCAAACTACTCAAGTCACTTCTTTTTCCATAGGAACATTTTTGTTCCTGAATGCCTACAGAAGCATGACTCAGCGTGTGTTTGAATAAAACATACTAACTGCTCTTGTTTCTTTTTAATTTTTGCAGCCATGTCAAGCTACCTCTACATCATCAAAAAAGAACTCCCCATTGTCATTCAGTCCTTTACTGGAGCAAATGATGGGTGAGTAATCTATTTCAAATTATTTTCTTTCTGATCACCGGTTGTCAAAGCAGTTATGAAAACGTCCCCAAGCTGGGTATTAATTTATGCCTGGTCAGTACAAAATGTCTCGCATCAGATGGCTTCATTTTGTACCCGAAAAAGTCATTTTGTTGTTTCATTTAAAAAATTGTGTTTGTAGTATTTGCCTTGTCGTACATTTTTTTTACAAAATGACAAAAACTGCAAAGGTACAAAATGATGGAATGCCTCGCACAATAAAGGAGGACAATGCTGTATAGCACCCTCTAGAGGTCAGAAATAAAAACAGAGTTAACTTATAGTACTATAAGAAAACATGATGGATAATTTTTCCAGGATTATGTGCTTGTTCTTTCCCTACTCTTAACTATATCTTTAATGAATTTTTAATGTTCCAAACTCATTATAAAAATGTAAATCAATGTTTAGGTGAGGCTAACTTACAAAAAATCTGTCAAAACAACAATCAGCAAAAGATTAGGCCATATATTTGCGAGGTAGGGTTATGTCAGCAAGCACTCAAAGTAAAGTGGAACACCACCCAAAATGGCTGCCTGTTGTTTATCTGGAGCCAACTCTCAGAGAAGGTGAAGTAGAGTCTTTGTCTGTCTGTGTGAGCAGCTGTGTAGGCGGGATGTCTGGACATCTTAAGGGATGCCAGCGCCCTGTTACTCAGAGCGGGCCCTTCAAAGAACCCCTTTTAGAAAACACGACTAGTGCCGCATCGAGATAGTGCGCAGCATGAGCTCACTGCGACCTCGCTCCAACTTTTAAAAATTGATGTGGCTTCAGCTCCTCTGTGCTGCTTTGTTGGGCCTATTTCTAGGAGCGATGCTGTCATCCTGCGCAGACCAGTTTCTGTCAGCTATTTTTGACGCTTGTAGGTGTTGTCAGTGCAGCAGTGAAGTTGTAAGCTAACGAATCTCACAAAATGTTTTTTGTGTATGTGTTTCAGTGAATGGTACATCAATGAAGATTACCTTGTGATTCTGGTCTCAATTATTGTTATCCTGCCTCTCTCGCTGCTCCGGAACCTAGGTAAGGAGTGTGTGTGTGTGTGTGTGTGTGTGTGTGTGTGTGTGTGTGTGTGTGTGTGTGTGTCATAAACTGTTGTTCCTAAGTAATAATAAAAGTAGAAGAGGCAGCCTTAGAGCGGCGATGACATTTTGTCTGTCTCCCTTAGGTTACCTTGGTTACACCAGTGGTCTCTCTCTGCTCTGCATGGTGTTTTTTCTGATTGTGGTGAGTACAACCCCACCTTGTTTCCTTATTCCTCCTTTGACAGTCAGATACAACCCATCATTTCATTAAAAACTTAAATGTTTAGTTCATTTAGGCACTGTAAAAATATAGCGCCCTNTAAAAATATATTTTTTCTATATATTCCTGCAGGTGATCATAAAGAAGTTCCAGATCCCATGCCCTCTGCCTCTTCCTGACACTGGAAATGAAACCATGAATATGTTCAACATCACCCCCCA